ATATATGTTAGAAGTAAGCGATCCAGTGCCGCCTGCAATCTACCTGTTCAATTGACTGCGATTTAGCTGTCCAGGTATTGTTGCCTTCTAAGTATATGAATTTACAGTATATAGAAGTATATAGATCAATCAGAGATCCTACTTTATCAACCAATTCACTCGTTGCTTGCAATATATTATAAAAAGTGAGAACAGTCTGTCAACTTTTGACTTTGACTCTTTCTTCTCCAACTCAGTGGAAATTCTCAGAATTCTCTCTACGTCAGCCTGATATGCTGCAAGTTCAATCTGCTTATCCGTTCATCTTCCACTGTAGTCGGTACTTTGATTAGTATCCAACTTTGGTTCTTGCTTGAATCTTGCTTTCTTACATCATCAACAGGATGATTTCCATAGAAATATAATCCGTTTTCTGACTTGCCACGCGCGATGTTTTTAGTCGCATCAGTCTTCATTTTTAGTCGTATCAGTCTTCATTTTTAGTCGTATCAGTCGACATCATTTCTCTATTGTTCACATGCATTCTCTTTTTCTCGTTTCTCCAAATATGTACTTCGAAAATCCTAATATATCCAACACAGCCAAATAAAGGTAAAGGTAAGGTAAAGGTAAAGGTAAAGGTAAAGGTAAAGGTAAACCGAAGGACGATAAGAAAAAGGCAGCATGTTATGTACGTGGCAGCAAGGACCATATGTCTCCAAAATGCCCAGACAGACTGCTACCAGAGATTCAATGGATGCATCCGAAACACTATGTTGATTACGGGAAGAAGCTCAATCTTAATCAGATTGGAGCAACTGTCCCAGCTACAGCTACAGTTCCAGGAACTTCTCCAGCGACAAGTGTTATCACTGGTACAACATTGAGTGTTGCAGGTAGTGTTAACATACCTTTGCGACTTGCTGGTACTACAGGTAATCAAATGATACAAGTTCCTACTGGTAATCAAATGATGCAAGTTCCTTCGGGAATGCAGCTCATGCAGATTCCAACTCAAGGTGGCGGCACTGTTACTGTCCCTTACTCTATGAATGCTAACGGCGGTGAAATTGCGTTCAGTGGAATGCAACTCAGCCAACAAGGCTTCAGTGGTGCTCAAGTGCGCCAAGGATTTGATGCAACTCAAGCTCGAACTCCGCAGGTTGTGAAGACTGGCTATTTTGATACGTCAAATGTCTTTCACGATGCTATCAAGGGAAAGGATGAGAATGGCAATGATGTCTATCTTATTCCATGTCCTACTGGAACGACTAATGTTGAACTTCAATCCGACTGTCACTATGCTAGTTAAAGCGAAGACTTGCCAGATCTTGCTACTGAAGCAGATCAAGGTATGCAGTTTATTCAAAGCCGCAGAATCAAAAGAGATCCGTTTGGTTTGCTCAATCACGTCATCATGGACAGTGGCTGCACCAACACTACCATTTGTAATGGTGAACTCATGCATGGACTACATCAAGCTGAGAAAGAGCTTGATATGCACACTAACGTGGGCAGCAGAGTTCTCGATGAAGAAGGGTTTCTAGGAAGATTTCCGCCTCCAGTCTATTATGATGAAGACAGAATTGCCAGTATTTCCTCACATTTCAGTCCGCAGCAACTCATTGATAATGTCAAAATCAACTACAAGAGTGACATGGTTGCTGAGCTTGGACAGTATCTTCATGCAATTGGGACGGATTCCAACAATTCCATGGAACCACAAAGTATTGAAGCGATCTACATTGAACCTACGAAGGGACAACGTACTGGGCACCGAGTGCTCAACCTCAATACTAAGAAGATGATTTCTTGACCCAAGGTTGTCGTACTACCCGTTACCGACCAAGTAATCCAGCGTGTTGAAGCTTGGGCTGCTGCCAAAGGTGTTACCTCCATGAAGTTCTTGGATAAGAAGAGAGATTTGGAGACATTTCAAGATGGCGATCAAATCACAGGAGTGGATGACACGGAACAAGGTTACTTAGAGGAAGCCTTTGATCAGGACTATGAACCTGAAGATGAAGATGAACGTGATTTCAACCTACGTGGACAATTCGATGATATTGATGACTCCGAAAGAAATGAGCTCTTGGCAGATGCAGACAATGATGTCGATGATATGCCGGAACTCATTGTCAGATTCCAAGGGGGTGATGACTATGAATCAGATGACGACGATTTGGGTGATGAAGGCGATGAAGGGGAAGAAACTATTGTGACCAATTTGGATCACCATCAAGAAAATATCGATAGAGGAACCAATGATATTGGAAGCCTTGTTACTGATCTGGAGGATCTACAAGAACTGCTAGAAGAAGAGATTGTATTTGAGCCTGAAGAGCCTCAAGTAGCAAAAGTCACTTGATCTGGGCAAACGTATGCGCAAGCTGCAATGTCAGGGCTGAACCTTTCTCAGATTCCAAAGAAATCAAGAGAATGGCCTTCGAGCAGGAGTGGCAGTTCTGCCAATAAGAACAAGAATCGAGTTGCGACAAGATGCAAGCATCGAGAGAGGGAAATGAAACCGTTAAAGGACAAATTGAAGTCTGGTATTTGAACCAAAGAGGGAAGTCACAGTACTAAAGACAGTAAAGCTATCCTTGAAGCACAGCACAATCTATGTTTCCAACAGATTGGGAATGAGATGAAAGCTGATTATGAAGAGCACGTTGCTATCCTGATCGCTCGTTGCATGATGCAGATCAAGGCCAAGTTTGATACCGATGAAGATCTGAACTTCATTCAACAGTATTACATCAATCAAGGACTGAAGAAGTTCGGTGATGATGGAAAGGATGCTGTAGATAAGGAATTGAGACAAATGCTCCTGAGAGATTGTTTTACTCCCGAATTTGTGAAAGACATGACCGCGTCTGAGCGAAAGAAGGCCCAATCAGCGATGATGTTACTCGCGGAAAAGCAATTCGAAA